CACACGGCCCTGCAGAGACCATACGTCTAACATATGTACTGTCTGGCCCTCCACCAAAATGTCTGCCCACACCTCAGCGATTCTAATGTATGACTCCACAGCGCTTGTGAGATTGTGCCCGAGTGCCACATTTTAACAGAAATGGAGTCTGGAGCCCCCAACAGAAGGCCATGAGAACCAGAACAGACGGTTTCTTCCAGAACTTTCTAGGGTGTTCACATGGAAGCTGCACACTGCCTATCTGACCCTTCCTCTTCCTCCTCCATGGTGATAGAACTATGGGTAAGATCCGGATCTCCAGCTGGATGTGTCATATGACTAAGCCCTGGCCAGCGGGATGGAAGGGGGATGATGTGAGTCACTTGGGCTCAGTTCTTTAAGGAGAAACTCTGCACCTAGATTTCTATCCATTTCTTGAGTCTCTTGGGAAAGGTGGCTACTATTAGCTCAGGCATTGGCACAGTAAAACCTGCCACCAGAGACAATGACTCAGACGGCAGCAAAGGAGAGAGCGCGTATGTAAGAGGTCTGAGAGCCCGTGATGCCAATGAGGTCACAGCAAAGCATTTGGTCTAAGTTTTATATGCGACAACCTTGGAGGCAGACTACACACCAGGAACCCTAAAACAGAAGACAGGAAAACTAAGACGCTCATGCATGTTCGTTACTCCTGTTGAGGCTGGAGAGAGCATACGAGGCTGAGAATCACCGAGACTCTGAGAAAAGATATCAGGAAAGAGCGGGGGCTGAGAGTCTGATGCTAGGAAAGCCTTTGCTTCAAGAGAGTTGGAGATCCGGAGGTAGGCAAACTGCTGCTGCAAATACTTCTCAGAGAACTGGCCCAGAGGAAAAAGGCATGTGCCCATGACATAATGGTTTGTCAGACATGTTCCCATGACCTATATGGTCTGTCAGACATGTGCCCGTGACCTATGGTCTGTCCTCCATTCGTATCTGCAGCTTCGAGCAGCCTCAAATCAGTCTCTATAAGCTGAGCGAGGGAAGCACGGATCTGACGAGCAGGAAAGACATCAAGCTGTCTGAGGTGCCGTGTCTAAGAGGGGACTGTGGCCTGGGCATCCACAGTTGCTGAGAACACACGGGGCAGAAGTTCACTGTGGTTTCGATGGAATCAAACTATGACAGGCTAAGCAGTGGTGGTGCCTGCCTTTAATCCCAGCACTTTGGAGACAGAGGCAGGAGGATCTCTGAGTTCGAGGCCAGCCTGCTCTACAGAGTGAGTTTCAGGACAGCCAAAGCTACACAAAGAAACACCCTCCTCTTGTACTATTCTCCCCAGTCATTATACAACGCGAACGCCTTATGATGTTGCATGTGGCAGTCTTTTTTTCAGTTTTGTTTGTTTGTTTAATGGGATTTAGTGTTAGCCTAATAGCAAAATCTCGACATAACTAGTCTGAGAATGATGCTCTTAATGACTCTTAAGGGGGTAAATGCCATTTAAATCATTGAAATTTACATAATGCATTACATCACAATCAAAATTGAAAACTAGCAGGACATTCTGTAAACTACAACTTCAGACCAGAACTCAGAAATAAGTACGATGGGAAAGAGACAGTTCAGTTCAAGTCCAGCTAGGCACCTTTGCTGAAGGAGACTTTTAACTGGAGGCTCAGTTGCTATGTTAAAATTGGACATTAAAAATATTCCAGGGATCGGAAGATGGCTTTGTGTGTAAAAAGGGCCTGCCTGCTGGGCAAGCATGAGGTCCTGCGTTCAGATCTCCAGACAAACAAACACTACGCCTGCAAACCCCAGCACTGAGGGACAATGACAGGTTTGGGTCCCAGTACCCAGGGAGGCCCTCTTCTGGCCTCTGTGAGCACCTAAACACAGGTACACATACCTCCAGGGAGATCTGGTGCCCTCTTCTGGCCTCTGTGAGCACCTACACACAGGTACACATACCTCCACACAGACACACCTCTATATGCACAATCTTTCAAAATATAGTTAAGGGGCCAGGGACACAGTTTAACTGGTAGAGTGCTTGCCTAACATGCAGGAAGCCTTTGGGTCATTCCCCAGCACCATATAAACCTGGCGTGGTGACACACGTCTGTACTCCTGGCCAGAGTCAAAGGGAGATCTGAAGTCCTTGGACAATGAAGTAAGGGGCCACAAACCAAGGAATGCACGTGTCCTCCAGAGAATGGAAAAGGCAAGACATGGGTTATCGCTTAAACCTTCCATTAAAAAATGCCAACATCTGGCTGGATCCCCAGAACTGTATGATAAGAAAGAAACATGTCACTCTATGTCACAGAATGCAGAGCACTTCTTCTGGGAGCAGGAAGTGAGTCTGGGGACAGAGAGGGAGCTGCCAGTCATGGCTGTAACCCTCGAGTGCCATTTTCTTTTAAAGCTATATGCAGATTGCCTTGAAAGAAAAGACCTGTGACCACGTTGGAGAAAATGCAGGCCTAGGCTTCTCTAGCTGTGTGTGCTCCAAAAAGAACACCTGGACATCCAGGAGCAAAGCGGGCGAATGCCAGCCCAAGTCTCACACCTGTGCAAACAAACTCGCTGTGGACTGTGGGCTTCAGAAGAAGGATGGGGGAAATGTCTGCAGCACCCAAGGCAGAGAATGCTCAACACTCCACACCAAGTGCACAGCTTATAGGAAAAAACAAACAAACAAACCTGAAACATGGGGTTCCACAATTAAAAGTTCTGATCTGTGAAGATCTCATTAAAAGAAGACAAAGAAAAGATACAGAGAGAATGTGCTAAAACCTGTATGTATATCTCAACAGACTTCTGTTTGGCCTATGTAAAGAACTAACAAGGCGCAGCAGCCGAAATAGAAATAATTCAACTGTAAAATGGGTGAAGATGGGAAGAGACGCGTCATCCAGAAAAACACAAGCAGCTTGCTTTCTCTTGGGCCACCAACCAGCTCCCAAATCATGACACACAGACTTCTATTATTAATTATGAATGCACAGCCTTATCTTATGCTTGTCCCACTAGCTCTGATAATTTAACCTGTTTCTCTTCATCTACATTTTGTCTTGGGGTGTTTTACCTTTTTTCATTCTGTATGTCCTACTCATGTCTAGCTGGCTGGCCCAGGTGTCTCCTTCTCTTTCTCCCTCATTTTCTCTCCTCTCTCCCTCTCCCTCTCTAGCCTATAACACTTCTTCCTACTTACTCTCTCTGCCCACCAGCCTCTCCTACCCCTCTACTGCCTTGCTCTTGGCCATTCAGATTTTTATTGGACAAATCGGGCCTTAGGCAAGCAAGGTAAAACAGCAACACATCTTTATATCATTAAGCAAATGCAGCATAAACAAATGTAACACACCTTCACGTAGTTAAAGTAATAGTCTGAAACAAACAAGTGTAACACATCTTTACAGAGTTAAAGTGCTATCCCCCAGCAAACATGCCAGCAGGCAGATGCACGACTCCATTCATCAATGTGGCTGAGATAAGACAGCAGATGCCGGCACAGACGAGGAGAGACAGCGGAGGAGAGACAGCGGAGGAGAGACAGTGGAGGAGAGACAGCGGAGGAGAGACAGCGCCGCACACATTGCTGGCGGGAACATAAGATGGTTCAGCCACTGTGGGAGCAACGACAGTTTCACTGAATTTGCAGAAATAAGCCCCGGATGACAAAGACCTAACTTAAATATTAGGGAACAGGCTTTTTTAAAAAGTAGCAGAAAACCATAGCAGAATAATCCGGGGGACAGGAAGATTTCTCAGCAGGTCACAAAATGTACATACAAATCATAAACAAAAATATTGATAAAGTTGGCTACACCCAAATAAGAGTGTCTCTGTCCTTTAAACAAAATTAAATGGCGCAAACAAAACAAAAACAAAAACAAAAGCGTCTCCCAAAGTCTGAGCCTAAGTGGCTCCCTGGGGAAAAGTTATTAATAACCCATATGTAAGAGCTCCACAAATCACGAAAGCATGACAAATTTTCTAAAATAAAACAAATGATAACTTAGATAAATACTGATCAATTCAAACAGAAAAATCCAGAAAGGTTAAAAGGGAGACAGAACACTATGTTTTATGTAGAAATGCTTGACAGAAATTGAGGTCTGGCACACGCTGACACGGTGCGGCCATTTTGGCGTGTCACTTAGCAACGTCCACCACATTTAAACACTAGCACATCCCTGCCGCCAACCCTTACTGCCTCACTGACTTGGCAGTTTCATTTCTAGAAAGTCTTGCTCAGCTGTATATGGAGGCAGATAAGGGAGTTAGGGTGGTCACTGTCACAGTTAATAGGGGCCACGCAAAAGTACGAAGTTGCTAAACACAGTGGGAGAAGCCTATGAACAAGATGGAAACCACCACAAGAAAGCAATGCATTTATAAAATTATAAAACAATACAGTTGCTTTTGTTTTGTATTTACAAAACAAAAACATTAAGACTCTGTTACATGTGAAATACATGTGCCAGCCACAGGTAGGACAATAGCCATACTCCGTCCTTAGGAGAAGCGAAGTCTAGGGAAGAGATCTGATGCGGTTGGAAATCATGGAGAGACTATAGGAAAATAGGCATCATTTGAGTTTTTCTTGGTTTGTTTTACTCCAGATTCTACTTAAAATCTAACAGTACAGTACTTGAGGCAGTGTCTGGTGCATCTCAGGTGCTCAGAGAATGCTAATTAAACCTTCCTAACAGTTGAGAAGCTATTTTGAAGGTGTTGACCTTTAAACATAGAAGATACCATAGCAGCTATGGGCCTTTGGTCAAGGGGCTGTCAAAAGGCCACATTAGAAGGCATTAGTACACAAAAGTACAACAATAATTCTTCCCGGTGCTGGGTTTCAAAAATCTGAACACTTGACCATTGGAATTGGGGAAGCAGGAACTCATCAGTCAGCCAAAGAAAAGTCCACCCGTTTCTCAGCCCATTCCCACCAAGAGCCTCAGCAACATACAGGACTGAACACGCCTAACTGGAGACCCCGCTTGGCACGCTTCGGACGGCTAACTTACCTGATATCTTTGAGGAAGTGCTGGTGGGGACTCCATTGATGTCACTGGGGCTTGTGTTCACAGGCTTTGGCACGTAATCTCGCCTGGGGAGTTTGGAGGCAAACGCTATACTGCAACACACATGGGAGGCCAAGTCAGACCTTTGTCCCAGACAGCAGAGACTCCCTAGTCCACAGGCCTTAGCTTTTCTTGAGGAGGACCAGACCCAGAGGGATTGTGAGAGCAAGGATTGTGTACCCTGAATTCTGAGAGCCCAGAGTGTCAGTGACACAACCCACGTGTAGTTCTTTCAGTCTGTACTTTAGTCTCTAGTTGACATTCTTCTGGAAAAATGTCCTCATAATGTCCCTGAGGCTTAGCAAGAAGACACTGCCCTAGGCTAGCTGCCTTCTTTCCTCTCTGACACCTCGAAGAAGGTCACCTGTCTACAGAAGTGGATGCGTCAGGAAGGCTCCCCTCTGTAACAATAGCACCAATTGAAGCAAAAATCTCGCTGAATTTATTCATTACCGTAATCCCATGTAAAACCATGTTCTGCTATAAAGTCTAGTCAAAACGCAGGGTAGGTTTAGCCCAGTAACTCGATCAACGGGATTGCTGTGCAAACTCTAAATAATATTACTGATTTGCAGAACGTCGGTGGTGCACTGACTGCGAAAGTCCCAAGGCAGGGAACAGAGTTTATCACTCAGAAGCTACCACTGAGTCTTTCGGTGTCCAGGATCAGCCGGGTATCGCAGCCCGATCACATTTTTCATGGGCTTTACAGGGTTCTGAGTGTCACCTGGCTCCTTCCATACCCCTAGATGTTGGGGGTGGAGCCTGCACTCCACTCCTCAACAGGTAGACAGAGAGTGAACCCTTTGGCAAGTCAGCAAAGAAGCCACAAGAGTTACCTCTCAGGCCACCGCGCTTGTATGCTCTACACATGGGTCACAAGAAAGAGGGTGGGGATATCAGTAAAAAGAAAAAGGAGAAAAGCAATGCCAGCCCTTCACCCAGTTCGGCCCTCTAATCCCAAGCTACATATTCATTATCTTAGCCTCGCCTCATGCCCACCCTGAAGGTCAGCTAGAGAGAATTCCAGCCAGGACGGCAGGAGGGACTGGAGGGCAGACGCTGGCTGCACTCGGCAGCCCCCTGCCCTAAGCAAGGCGAAGGTGCTTACCGATACTCTAGCTTGTTCTGCAGCTCCTGGAGGATCTCTGTGGACTGCCTGTGATAGTCTAACGCTGCCTCTACAAACACGGCCAGCTGGCTGACTTGCTCTACCTGTGGCAGAAGTGCAAAGTTACTCCATTTTGGCCAGAGTCCTCGGGACGTCCAGAGCAAACAGGAAGCCTGGTGACAGCAGCCTGGCTCTGCCAGGCAGCTTGGCAACTGCCTCAGCCCTGGTCCAGCCCAGCTCATCCTATCTCGGAGAGAATTTTCTTACACAGCATCTGACCAGCTCTGGGCACAGTCTGGCTGTATCCTCATCCCGCCATCTCTTCTCTCCCGGCACAGCCACCCGAGGGCTCCCTGGCTTCCGCAGATCCGTGTTGCTTTCACGTACCGTTGAGAGCTCTTTCAGCTGCCCGCCCTTTACTACGGTCGCCCACTTATTCTGAACCTGGGTTTACTGTGCGTTTACAGTCTACATGGATCCCACTCAAGCCAAGAATGCCATGGGCACATGACTAAGGCCGGCCCTGGCACTGCATATACTTTACCATGCTCTGTGGCTAGAAAGGCGACACTCGCCTTCCATTTCCAAAAACACAATAAACAAAACAAAGACAGCCTGGCCCCTGCAAAATCCTAAGGATTTCTTAAATTTCATCTCCTTGGCTTTTAAGAACACGTTTGAAGAAGGCCCGCGCCATAGCCTGACATGACCGCAGTGGACTCTGCTAAGGAAACAGTGCTGCTTCCTTGTGACACTGGAGCTGCTTGCTCACTGAAGACTGCCGTGACCTGTGACCTGCCTTACACACAGCAGTCTGCTTTGCAGCCACTTTGAACTAAGCCTGCCATTTGCAGACTTAAAGGACAGTGAGAGGCAACCAAAGGAAGAACCCTCATGCACTTGGGAGTGCAAATCACCCACTGTTTCTCTCTGGACAGCTGGAGCTACATCTGGAATGCTTCGTGATAGCTGACTTTGGGGAGGCAATGGATCCCAGGGCCCCCAAACGCTTGGGAGACAGCGCAGCACTACCCATGGTGCCTGCAAACAGGGGATCCCCAGGGAAAGCCCTGAGCATAGTCGCTAAACTCAGCTCCTCATGCTGAGCGCAAAGGCAAGTCAGACCCAAACTGGATTTGTCTATCACTGTTGGGAACCAGAAGCTTCCAGCATCCCCCCCCCCACACACACACACACCCTCACCCCAGGATGTAAGCTGTGTGCTGGGAACCAGCAGAGATAATCTCTGCTTCCAAGGCTGCAACTCAAATGAAATGCCTAGAAAGACAGAGCCATGCTAAAGCAGCAGACTCAGGCCCTGCAAAAGCCAAAGGCTGCCCAGGTGAAAGACCTCCTCCATTGGCCACACCAAGGAATCTGAATAGCTGCTTGTAGATGTCACTGGAGGGTGAAACTGTGTTAGGCTGCGTTGTACAGCAGGGCCCCGTGGCAGACAGTTTACATTAGGAATCTTGAAGTGAGGTGGTATCCTGGACTTTCAGGGTGGTCCCGATGTAACTATAAACTGCTTTGGGGCTGAGGATACAGCTCAGCCAGCAGAATGCTGGCCTTGCATACATTGAGCCTCGGGTTCAAATCCCAAGGTTACCTAATCCGGAGGTAGTGACAGTAATTCCAGTGCTTAAAGGTGGACGCGGGAGGGCAAGGAGTTCAAGGTCATCCTTATGGCAGAGCAAGTTTGAGGCCAGCCTGAACTACACTAGACTTTTACACACACACACACACACACACACACACGTGCATGAGACAATGTGTCCCTCATTTAAGAGGGAGACAGGAAGCACAAAACCAGAGTAGAAGACAAGACCACCAGAGCGGGAGGCTTGAAGGAAGTCTGCTGCTGGGTTTGCAGATGGAGGAAGCCAAGCTAGGAGCATGAAGCTAAGGAGGCTGGAAAGGGGGCAAAGCAGGCTCCTGTCAAGCCCCCTACCCCTTCCCTTCCCTGCATCACCAGATTTCCAGTCTCCAGACTGGAAGACAACGGACTGATACTCTTTAAGCCACGGTGCTTACAGATGCTTGATACAGGAGCCGTAGACAATGAACAACACTGCTTTCTCCTCTTCTCTAAACAAGAGAAATCTAAGGGGCTGAGCAGCACTGCTAGGGACTCCATTTCCTGGGAATGGAAGCTGCGGCCTTGACCCCATCCCATGCCAGCAATGAACGCTGCATAAGAACCCATGCCTCCTATGCACACATCTAGTTCGATGGCCTCTATCTGGCTGCAAACCAATGCATAAGTACTAGACTGTGAGACTACTTGGAGCATCGTGGCCATGGGGATGGAGGTGAACCATAGATGCCAGGGATTTGCATCACCACGAGCTGTGGAAATCTCAGGGACACTCACATGGGGTCTGAGCATGAGTCAGGCCATTTGAGCCAACTACAATGGACCTGGGTCTACCCAAAGGAAGAGGGGTCAAAGGCTATAGCTTACAAAAGGTCTTCTAGCTCGACTGTCTGCAAGAGGACCACAGAAATGGGTCGCTGAGAAGAAACCCAGATGCCTGGGAGCCACAGTATATTGGCAGACATGGATAAAGAAACACAAGTCTTTGGAAGCTGGCAAGCAAGCCACGCTCACCATGATGGCCATCTTCTGTTTCAGATGGGATAACAAGAGACTTCTCACTGTCGGGCTTAAGACTGCCATTCTTCTGGAATCCTCAGAGTGGAAGGAAGGGAATGTCTGGTCATAAACAGAGATGCCTTATCCAGTGAACTTGAGCTCAGATCCACAGAGTCCACATTAAAAATGATAATAAAATAAAATAAAAACAAAAACCTGACTGCAATGCTGTGCACCTGCCATCCCAGCGCTGGAGAGGCAGAGACGGGGGTGGGGATGGGGGGTGTCCCTGGGGCTTGCGGGCAGCCAGAATAGTCAAATCGGTTAAGCTCCAGGTTCAGGGAGAGACCAAGTTTCAAGAGTAAGGTGGGGAGTAACCGAGGAAGACACCCAAAGTCAACCTGTGGCCTCCACCTGTGCACGTGTACACACACCCACCCACCCACACACACACACACACACACGCATGCACACAGAGACACAAAATACACAGAGACCCATACGAATGCATGCACAGAAACAGACACACACATGTATATCCACAGTGACAGACACACAGTCTCACAAAGAGACAGACAGACACACACATGCACAGAAACAGACAAACATGCACAGAGACAGATAGACACACAGGCACACATATAAACACACAGAGAAATAAACAGACACAAAAACACACACACACAAACACGCAGAGACAGAGACACATAGAGAGAGAGACACATAAACACACACAAAGACCTAAAGAAAATACTATTTCTCTGGACCAATGAGAAAAAAACTAAGGAATCTGGAATCCAGTAGTTCCATTGGTTCTGTGGATGAAGGGAGGCCTCTGGCTGGAGGAGTTGTCAGCTACTGAATGTTGCAAGAGCCTGGCCTCTCTGAGTTGGAATCGATATTTTTAAATGTAATGTGTCTGGTTTCTTTTAAGGTCAAAGGCTGACATTTAATCATGTCAAGTTGTACGGAAGAAACTTCTCAGAGAAGAGTTCAACCTGTGGGTGAGGTGGCATCTCCAAGAAATGGCAGTGGACCCTCAGAACCACCCTTCTGCCGTCTACAGCCCCACCGAGCATGAAGTGTGGTGGGCACACTTCTCCAAAAGGGGTTCACTCTGGGTGCCAGTCACAATCTGGCACACAAGGAGGCACTCGTGTGCCTGGTCTTAAAGGTCCCTGGGAATCGAGAGAGCCAAAACCACTACTCCATGGTTTAAACAGCTGCCTGAGGAGTAATGGAGTTGCTTGGCCTCAGCAAAGAAGTGAGGTCCTCCAGGCCTTGAATCCAGTCCTTCCCAACAAGATCAGCAAAGGCTGGGATGTGGGGGTCAAAGGACATGCTCCCCTACTTTCCCATCCTCCAATCTGCCTGGAATAGATGAGTAAACCAGGTGACGTTTGTTTAGGGATGGTGGAGCAAACAGTCTCATACCATCCTTTCCTTTGTTCCACCCCAAAGGTAGTCCCAAACGGCTACTGTGGTGTCTACAGGTGTACAAAGTGCAAGCTGGCCTCAGGCACCCTCAGTGTTGAAAGGGCCTGTTACAGAGCCAAGCTGCTGCCATCCTGGCTCCTCTCTGCTCTGCTCCCCCTCACCCCTTCCCCGAAGCTCTCCAGCCCAGGGCTTGGCCTCCCTTCCCCAGCTCCTCTTTCCTACATCACCCAGCCATTTTGGCCACGAGCTCTCTTGGTCTTCCCCGTCTCCTCTCTCTCTCTCTTCTCTTCCTTTCTCGCTCACTGCCCCAACCTCATGATTAAATTCAATCTGGACTCTTGCAGATGCCTCTGGCTGTACTTATCAGATTTACAGTAAAAACCTTCTCCTCACCCACACCTTGGAACAATAATGTCCTCCTTTGCATTCAGTGTCAATGCTGGACCTGTCTGAGGATGGGGATTCAGGGGAGAGGCCAGGGGTAGGACCACCCAGCGACGCCTGGTTGGCAAGGCAGAAAAGGGAGGTCCAGCCTGCGGCTAGGAATTTCTGTCCCTTTAGTTCGGCTCCACTTTACTTCTGGTGACAACAAACAGTCCACCACAGTGCTGCTGCTTCTAGAAGGTGTGGCCCTAGCCCTTCACAGCCTCCAAGCTCATAAGCACCAGTGTGAGCCAGCCAACATGTCGGCCAGGCTTCTCTATCCTGGTAAAAGCCTCAGAGGGCTGGAGGGTGAGCTTCAAACTTCTGTCCCAGAGAGCATCTGTCAACCTCAGCTCCAAACCACAAATGCTGGGGCCTTACACGCAAAGGCTGGTCTCCTGGGCATCTCCTGGGACAAGGCCACCCCCAGAGATAAGCAAGTCTCCCGGAGGGCTTCAGTCAGGGTTGCTGACTATCTCTACGGCAGGAGGTGAGAGCTACAGAACATTCTAGAGTGGCTCCACAATTAAAATCTTAGAGGTTCTCCACACACCAGTCATGCTCACACAGTGATGGTTTACTCATGCACATTAACAGCTTCTGTCTGCTTTAAATACTTACATCATTCTCTAAAAAATTAAACATGCTTCTCTCGGCCAGCTCCTTTGACTCTTCAAACTTTTCTATCGCTTGTCTGATTTCTTCCTCGGGTATCTTACCTACTCGCCTCTTTTTATAATCATAATCCAGGCGGCGGCCTTCCAGTTTCCTCAGGTGGTGCTGGAAAGAGAAAGAAAATCCCTGCGGACACTCACACCGTGGCGGGCGGCCACGTGCGCGCGTCATATTCCTGATCTCTACAGAAATACACAGTACTTCCCAGCCTAAACTCTACCTGTCGCTGTTTGAGAATTTCACACATGTGTACACGTTCCTCAAAGCCACACCCCCATCTCTCCCCTCCCCTGCACAAGTGCCCAGCACTGAATGGTCTTCATGGTCTTGGAAAAAGAGCACATAAAGTTGGGGAGGGGAAGTGGGGGGGGGGATTGGGGACATGCTTTCTTTGGGATGGAAGAGGTAACACAGGTGAGCAGACTCAGGGGTGTCCAAATAAGGAGGGGGTACAAAATAAAAAGGTTTTATGTCTCATTCGGTCTTCCTGGATCCTTGCCTCATGTTTTTTGCTCTTAGAATAACGCTAAATGCAGATAAAGGCATCTGAGGCTCCCCAGGACTCCTGCCTTCCCACCATCTATAGTCCCCTCCTTGGTTTTTGCCCTGTGCTCTAGTCTCCTGGCCATCAAAGCCCTGACCCTTCAGCAAGATGTGCTGCCTATTTACCCAGCCCAGTCTGCCTGGACGGCTCCTTGGAGGCCTTCCCTCCCCAGCTATGCTGAGGAAATGCTCTCCTCAGGATCTCCCTGCTCTTCTTGCCTCTCCGCCATCAGCAACTGCTGGCTGTCCTGCCACCGAACACTTATGTGCTCCCGAAGGGCACACGTTCCATCTGTTTGTCAGTAAATAGTCCAAGCTCTCCTTGAACTCACGATCTCTGTGGCTACCCTATTAAGACTCTCTGGGCCTAACAAGAGGAAGACAGACCCAAGTTTCAAATGATATAGCCACTGAAGGGAGACCTGTCTATCACGCTGGACGGCAGGCAGTTATTCTCTACAATGCCACAAGAGGGCGCCTGGACCTTCAGGGCAGAAGTCTGGCCTCCGGGATGGCTTGGAGTCATTGCGCACACCTGCAAAAGCAGTCAGCCTGAACATGACCTGGAAGTTCCCAGGGACACTCTGGACAACCATCTCTTGCTGGTTTCCAGATGAAACTTTCAGTTCCTAGATAATGATTTCCTTGAGAAAGAATGGAAAGTTATGACCGTGAGTGCAATGGAGCCAAGTGTACAATGGATAGGATGTGGTATTAGCAATGAAAACCACACCCCGGAGAATGGAGTCTTTGTGCTCTATGAGAGGAGGCTGCAGGAATGTGATGCTGTGTCTGGTGTGTGGATGGCTGCAGAGAGATGAAGCCCTGAATGTGGCAGCCGGCTTGCACCTCCCCTCCAGAGACAGTGGATCCCAGTACTCTCCCAGGGAGCCTTCTAACAAGTCCAGTTCTGTGCAGAAGCCTTGTCACGGGTTTAAGTCACGGTGTCACTGGGCCAGGACAGAGGGGAAGACTTACCCCAATCTCTTTTAAGTCTTTTTCTTGCAGTAGCTGCAGGGGGTCAATAAACGTTTGCTTCACATTAATATCCAGAGAATCTTTCACCTCAGCCATGAGTTTCATGGATTCACCAACTTCTACCAACGCGTTGCCTTGAACAAAACAACACAGAACTTCCTTTCAGAATCATACTCTAGGTTAACGGTGATGCATTGTGTACAACGAGGCTTCGCTCTAAGGCCTCTACTTCCTGACTCAGAGAGAATAGGAAAAAGGAGAAAGTTCGCCTGTTTTCCTCACGTGTTCCCCTGCCTTCTGTGCTCTATCTAGCCTCCCCTTCAAAGAGAGCTGGTAGACCAAAGCACTTCCCACTTTGGCCACTAGATGGAGATAAAGATCTTTGGTGGAAAATCGGGTCTGGAACCTGGCACCAGGGGTTCCTTAGAGTTCAGGGATAAAATCTCTTTGTAAACAGTGAAGGGATTCATTCATGGGGATACATGTTTAACCAATACAGATTACAATGGAAATAAGGCCTCGCTAGTCCTGTTTCAGAAGCAGTGAAGTATCACTCCCTGCAGGCAGTTCTAACCTTCTGGAAACCTCCCTATGCTCTCAGGTGTCCGGGATGCCCTGTGACCGTAGGGACCAGCATGCTCTGGGAAGGAATATTTCCTGGATGCGGACAGCATCTTTAGTAGGTTCTCTCTGCCGGAAGGGCTCTGCTCAAGCCTGACCTTTGACTCAGTCGAGAACATGGACAATTCACTCATGCATAAGACAGGGAGAGCAGTGGCTGCTTACTCAATTTTTTTTTTTTTTTAAAAAAAGTAAACTCATAGCTGGGTCCTTGCCAGTTAGAAGCAGAAACCATCTCTGGAAATTAAGGTTGGCCAGGATGCCAGTCCAACCCACTGAGTACCACTGCAGCTAGGGGAGAGGGGGTCTGAACTGAGCTGTCTAGAATTTGATTTCGGGTCATTCCTACACGGAGGAAGGAAGTCTCTTCCTCACTTGGATACTCTCCTTCCTGTTCAGCTGTGTGACCCTGACATTCACTGTCACCAGAGCCCAGGTGTTGACTATGGCAGAAGCGTTTGAAATATGCCTCTTTTGGGGGACTGTGGAGATGCCCGTCAGTAACGTACTTGCTGCGCACACTTGAGGACTCAGGTTTGATCCTCAGAATCCATGTAATAAGAAGAGCCAGGCCGGCAAGTGCACTTGGAATGCCAGTGCTGGGGAGGTGGAGACAGCAGGACCCCTAGCGCTGGCTGACTGGCCACGGTAGCAATCAGCAAGCTCTAAGTTCAGTGAGAGACCAGGCCCCAAAATACACAGCGGAAAGATACTGAAGAAGACCTCCAGCCGCCACACGCGAACGGGCGCACCTGCGCATGCGCACACACACAATGTCCTGCGCATTGGCCGTCTCTGGCTCACAATCTGCCTCCCGCTCCACACGAAGAGCAGCACTGCTCACTATCACGGCACGCCCTCGTTCCTGCACTTAGAAGGGTCAGGCGTAGGGCCCCAAGCAAAAGATCCAAAGGAAAGAACCTCCGCAGACCAGACTCTCCCTGGGGACAGCAACCGTCCACCTGTCCCAGAGCCCTGATGAAATCAGCCCTCTTCACAGGAGTCCCAGTGGCTAGCTCACTGGGTTGTCACAGGGCCTGTCACCGTGACCGGGTGACAGCATCCTTGTAGCCCAGGGTCTCACCTTCACGGTGGGAAAAATAGGGCCCCTTGTTTCCACTAAACCTTGGAATAAAATAAAAGCCACATTTACGCGGCTCTAAGGATACTACACCCTCTGTCAGGAATTCAGTAACTGCCTTTGGGGCTTTCTGAGACAAGGCCTCCCAGTTATTTCAGGCTGGCCTCGAACTAACAATCCGCCTGCCTCATTCTCACAAGTTCTGGGATTCTAGGTATCTATCACCATACCAGGGGTGACGGTGTATACTTGTAACCCCAGCACTAGGGAGGTGGAGATAAAAGGGTCCCCAGGACTCCTGGCCAGTCAACCTAGGCTAACAGTTCCAGTGAGATCTTATCTCAAAACACGGTGGCAGCTCCTGAGGAATGACGCCAGAAATTTATCTCTGGTCAGTCTACGGTACACGCGCATACACACACATACACACAGATCCTCCCTATCTGCAGGGTTTTCAGAGCTTGTGAATGACAAGGCAAACAAAGAAGTGTGTATCAAAACAAAGTACAGAGTTCGAGGTCACCCTGGTGGGGGTTGCAGGCCAACCAGGGATGCAAGATGAGATCTCGTCCCCAAACGAAACAAAACCAAACCAGTCTCTCCGAATGGATGGATGGATGGATGGATGGATGGATGGATGGGTGGATGGATGGATGGAGAGAATATAGTGTGTGCACACAATGGAATTCTATCAAGCTGGAAAGGAAAATGAAATAATTAATTTTGTGGGGGAAAATGGTGGTGCTGGAAAATATTATATCCATGGAAATTAGATTCAAAAAGACAAATATGCAGATCCTAGGTTTTTATTTGTTTTATTATAGATGTGTGTGTGTTGTTTGTGTGTAAAAAGAGAAGGGGATGGTTTGGGGTCATGAAATTGTAAAGGGACCATAGAGGGGACAAAGAGATCTCGAGTGGGAAGGGTGAAGACCGTAACAAAATGCATGGTAGAAACCACACTCCAGGAGAGGATGGAGAAGGACCAGAGAAGAGGGGCCGGGGGGGGGGGACACTGGGGGAGGGAGGATCAAAAGGCTTATCCATATCACGCTGGTGGAGGGGTAAACAGAGGGGGGATTTAGGAGATATGTGTGCACATATATGTGTGTGTATATACATACTGTGTTTTAATCTTTAAAATTAAGAAGGATGAACAAGAGATGCAAAGGCTATCTAACAGTTTACCTAAGCCTAGCACGGAGATGGGAGTACAGATACTAGCATTTTCCTTACCTATGCTTTCTAACCTCCCCCCTGTAATGAATACATTCTGGTAGTATCTAAAAACTATTACATTGCAAAGATACAGGTTTTGTGGACAATCAAAAGCCAACCCAGGTGTTCCCACTGTGCCAGCTGAGCTGGGGGTACCCACCAACAGCCCACCCCGGTGTCCCCGCTGTGCCAGCTTAGTGTAGGAGGTCCTTCTTCTCTTTGTGTGTTGCTTTCATTGGTTGAATAAAGAGACTGCCTTGTCCTTTTGATAGGGCAGCCCTTAGGTGGGTGGAATAGACAGAACAGAATGCTGGGAAGAAGGGAAGCGTGGCAGACGCCATGCTTCTCCCGCCCAAGATGGACGTTGGTTAGACTCATGCTGGTAAGCCACGACCTCGTGGTGAACAGATTAATAGAAATGGGTTAATCAAGATGTGAGAGTTAGCCAATAAGAGGCTAGAGCTAATGGGCCAGGCAGTGTTTAAATGAATATAGTTTCTGTGTAATTATTTTGGGGCTAAGCTAGCCGGACAGCGGGACACAGCCTGCCACTCACCTTGTACTACACCAGCTGAGCTGTGGTATCCACCCAAAGCCCACCAGGTGTTCCCGCTGTGCCAGCTGAACTAGGGTACCCACCAACAGTCTACCAGGAGTTCCCGCTGTACCAGCCGAGCTAGGGTACCCACCAAAAGCCTACCCAGGTATGCCAGCTGAGCCAGGGGCACCCACCCAAAGCCCACCAGGTGTTCCCGTTGTGTCAGCTGAGGTACCCACCGAAAGCAGATTCTTCTCCAAGCTCCTTGCCATACTTCAGCATGCAATCCCCCAACAAGCCTTCCGTCTGCGGGTAGCCGGTGGTCTTCACCTGCCCTCGGAGCTTCGACATAGTGTTCAGCATTCCCAGCTTAGCTCTGTATGCTTAAAACATTATTATTTGTCATGCCTTAAAGTCACAAGGTACAAGGACAATCACATTGCCTTTCACAAACACGGCTACCCAAACTGGGGTCCTCACAGACAACACACCAGCAACTCCAGGCACACACCAATCCACCTTCATTCTCTGACACAGTTTTCCAAAGCCTTTGCAGGGGGTGGGAGCGGGGTGCGGGGCACACTGGCACAGTCACAGCAGCCATGGACATTACAGACCCTGCTATGTTTAACAAGCACCTGCCGTAAGGAAAGGTGGCCTCCAACGCGGGACAATACTGACACCTGTGCAGCCGCTGTCCCCACTTGTGCTGGGGACAATGTCAGCGAAGACTGGAAGGGCTGTGGTGGCAGCTGCCAAGCTGCCAGTTGGTGATCAAATCCTCATTCTGCTCCCAAGAAATGACTCAAATGGAGGACTCATAAGGTCAGAAAGGAGGGCTGGGGCATGTAGACAGGTGACAGATGACACCACAGTGAAGTCACCTGCATTGCTGCCCCCTCTCCCAGGTGTGACTCAGCAACTTTCCCCGGGGAGGCAGTGGGCAGTTGTGGCTTCTTACATTCTTTTCGTCTCTAACTTAAGGCACTGAATATTTCTTATTTTTAGCATGATGTTTTGAACAAGAACAGCCCCCACAGGCTCAGACGATTGGTTATTTCCCCAGTTGGTGGAACTATTGGTAAGGATTAGGAGGTGTGGCCTTGCTGGAAGAAGTACATCACTAGGGTGGGCCTGGAGGTTTCCAAAGCCATTTCCAGCGTGGGCTCTGCCTCCATTATGCAGTTGTTGAGATGTGAGCTCTCATCTGCTCCTGCCACCAGGACCTTGCTCCACCAGCCTCAAACTGGAACCCTCTGAAACTGTAAGCCCAACTGAAGACTTTCTTTTCTCAGTTGCTTTTCTTATGGTGTTTAACACAGAATTAGGAAAGTAATTAATACATCTGGGCCACATGCTGTGTTGATATGGGAATGTAAGAGACCCCCCCAGAAAACATCTGCCCTTCCTGCAGCTACTGAGTGGCAGAATACAGCGGGACTCCAATCAGCTCCGGGGTGATGCCAGAAAAGAAAGATGCTGCAGGAAACTTCAGGATACCCCTAAAAAGCCCAAGAATGTCTATCAAGTAAAGTACAGCAGAAATTTCTACTGTGCAATCAATGGACTGTGGTGGGCCGGTTGACAAAATGGCAAATGTCTTTGGGAAATGAAGACTACAAACTGAACACCACGCTAAGGATCCAAGGCACCAGCTGTGGTATCTAGGCCATTTATATTTAATGTAATCCAGACAAGTGTTTCTCAAGCTTGACCACTAGCAGGCAACTCGGGCATCTTGCTGAATGCAGAGTTTGATTCAGTTGGTCTGGGGTGAGCTAGGGCTCAGTGTGTCCAGCCATCTCACAGCTGGTCCTGCTGGGCTGCAGGCTACACTCTGAGTAGCAATCATGGTATCTGTCTTTCAAGCCTTGCCAAGCTCAGCCTTAAAGCCCTTATCATCCAGGTCTCCAAATCTCCAAACCCTAAAGCATCACCCAGCCATACAAATTCAATCACACAAACAACACACACACACACACACACACACACACACACACACACACACACACACACTGGTTCCACTTTCCACACTGTCAGAGTGAGTGTCCTGTATGTGGGGGTAAGGACCATTACATGGGATTAGAGACTTCTGGTACATCAATCTTTATCTTCATGATAACCAGTAGATTCTGCCCAGGGTAGCCAGCTGCTCCCTCTTCCATTCCAATGTCAGTTCTTAGAGGGTGGAATCTGACTGTGCATTCTAGAACCCAGAAAGCCTCTCACATAGTGACAATGCTTATGGAATTTTATAAGCTAATACATCAGGAAAGGAACTCTTCACTCTAGTCACTGATGAGGCTAGACAAAGAATTTGTCATTGGGAATTTTAAGGCTTTAAAGCCCTGTACACACATTGCCCCAGGATGATCTGATTGAATGCATGCTCTTAGATGTTCAGAGTGTGGGTGTGTCTCTTCTGATTCCTACGTAAAGGACTCACAATGACTCCCACAGCAAATCCTGAGAGGAAAGGCTCAAGGCTTGTGTGTCCTCTGCTGGTTCTCATCAGCCTGTGGAAAACACTGTCTAGGACCCAGGGATGAAGGCCTGTGTAGAAACTGACGCTTGCATTTTCCATACCACGCCTACTGCTGGTCATGTGAACATGCCTGGACTTCAGCATGGGGCTCACTGTGAGCCCCTTTAAGATTAATATACATATCTATTAGGACAAGGTAAAGGACTTTCTTGTTAATTAAGAAAAGATAACTAAAAAACATTTTTTTAAATGTGCAGCAGGGTTTTGAGGGATACAGATGTCCAGAGATGTCCACTGAGGGATGCCTGTGCTGAGACCAAAACTCCATCCTAACCATGTGCACCAAAGCACATCCAAGTGGCTGCTTCCCCATTAACCAGGACTCACTACAGCCACATTGTGTTCTTGGAGGTTTCCCAACTGAACTTCATTATTTGAACACAGGCGTTGTTTCCAATTGTGTCAGCCTCATACAAAGGAGTCGGGGTCAAGAGAGTCCACGAACACAAGTGTGCAAGGAGATGTTTCAAGACGTGCTCTGACATTACCTGGATTGGGCTGCAGATATTCGGTGGCTTTTGACAGGATTTCTGCAACAGCCTTATTTGTAATATCTACTTTCTTTAGAGAAAGACAAAACAAAGGCTAGTGAGTTTTAACAGAACCAACAAAAAAGCATTTACCCCCCATTTACCTTCTGAGGCTACTGTGATTCTTTTTTATTTCTTTTTATTTTATGTGAAGTGGGTTTTCCTGCATGTATGTCTGTGTGAGGGTGTCGGACCCACTGGAACTGGAGTTACAGACAGTTGTGAGCTGCCATGTAAAAGTTGGGGATTGAACCTGGGACCTCAGGAAGAGCAGCCAGTGCTCTTAACTGCCGAGCCAGCTCTCCAGCCCGACGCTGGCGATTTTAACACGGAAGTTCTCAACATCTTGGGGAGAGGTGTTCTTTTCTCTGTTGTGACTCTGAGAAATCTCCCCCTCTTGGAGACATTGGAGAACACTGTATAATTCTTCTGTATAAGAGCTAGAAATATTCAACACATTATGACTCTACTTGATGCACAGAAATACTTGGAGAACTTGATACTAAGACTCACAATGAGCCTGCAGGGTGAACTTGAATAACCGTGCTTCAAGTATCATAATATAATGATATATATCGGCAATAATATAATCTAATATGCTAAAAGCTGCCCTGGCAATAGTGAGACAAACACACCATCATAACTAAACACAACCGCCATGCCCTGTCAGACATCAACATTAAGACTGACCCTGTCCTTCTGCCATCCCTGCACTGCCGGTTGCTAATCAACATAAAGTTAATAGAATATCCAGGAAAGCCATGTTACAGAGTTCATCCATATTTTATAGACCATCAATAACCCGCAAAAAAAAGGAAAAGGAGACACCATTCACAAGAGCAATACAAAAACTGTGTCCTAAAATATAAAAAGGGATAAACCTCATGAGAACACAGACTATTTAAAATTCCACATTCCTACATAGAAAAATCTAGTTTTAGAATGATGTAAACCTTCCCACAAATTAGCACATCAAATCTCACCACGATTATCAATTTTTGGTTAAAACATGGTAAGTTGATGTGGTGGGCTTGAATAGGAATGGCCCCCCATAGGCTCAGAGATTCGAATGCTTGGTCATTAGGAAGTGGTGTTACTTGATAGGGATTAGGAGCTGTGGCCTTGTTGGAGGAAGCACGTCACTGAAGATGGACTTTAGGGCTTCAAATTCTCAAGTCAGGCCTAATGTCTGTCTGTCTCTCCTGCTGCCTGCAGATCTGGATGTAGAATTCTCAGCCACCTCTCTAGTACCACGCACGTCTGCCTGGGTGCCACCACGTTTCCCATCAAGGCAATAATGGACTAAACCTCTGAAACTGCAAGCTAACCCCTATTAGATGTTTTTTTTACAAGACTTGCTAATGGCCATGCTGTCTCTTCACAGCATTAAAACCCCATCTAAGACAGAAGCTAGGACCAGGAACCGGGCTGTTGCTGCGCTAGGCCTGGCCACACTTTCATTTGGAGGAATATGAAACACTTTTGGGCTTTGGATTAAAAGGTGATTGAACATTTTTGTTTTGATTGATTGATTGTTTTTCGAGATAGGGTTTCTCTGTGTAACAGCCCTGGTTGTCCTGGAACTCACTTTGTAGACCAGGTTGGCCTGGAATTCACAGATATGCACCTGCCTCTGCCTCCCGAGTACACCACCACCACCCAGTGCTATTAGATATTGTAAGTAGGGCTTCAGTAGGATCATGGAAGACAGTGGTGCTGAGGGTGATTAAACTGTGGGGGCCTGGATCAACAACTATCAGAGAGGAAGACTATTAAAAAGTGGCCTCAAGACCATTCTTGTGGCAGAATGGGAAAGAATGTGGCTGCTTTCGCCCTCGTCTGAATAGTCTGCCTGAGGCTAAGCTGAAGAGTTCTGGATTAATGGCACTGGCAGAGGAGATTTCAAAACAGCCTGGTATTGACTGTGCTGTGTGGTTATTAGCGACGAGTCTAATGCAGGTCTATGATGAAAAGGAGCAAGCCAGTAAGCAGCACTCCTCTGTGGCCTCTGCATGGGCTCCTGCCTCCAGGTTCCTGCCCTGTGTGAGTGATAAACAGGAACATGGAGGGGAAAACCAAACAAACCCATTCTTTCCTAACTCGCTTTCTGGTCATGGTGTTTACTTGCAGTAATAGTAACCTTAACCAAGACAGCTGACAATATAGTGAGATTCATAATTCACGCTATATATAGGATTAAAATATGGAGCATGTTGGCAAAGATAGGCGGTCAGAAGAAAAACTGAGAAGAAATAACTTACAAAGTTTAAAAACAAAAAGCCCAAACGCCTCCCCGCTGAGTGGCTGGGATGTGTGCACAGGAGGGCGTGTCTGCACTAACAAACCATTACACAAATATCTTTGGCAAAACTCGGGAAAAAATAGAAAAAGGTGGAGATGCAAGCAAGTTGGGGAAGGCTGTGTTATGAGGCACGTTCTCCAGTTGATTCAATCTGGGATCCCCAGGCCTGGGTCACTAACTCTCCCAGGCATAGCCCAACACAGGGGCTGGGAGGCAGAACAGGATTCTGAGGATACCATGGGCTCAGGGTCATTGGTTAAACTAGGAAGACTGTCTCTGGGGGCTGAGAGATGGCTCAGCAGTTAATAGCACTGGATGCTCTCCCAGAGGACCTGGACTTCATTCCTAGCACCCACATGGCAGCTCACTATGGTCTGTCACTCTAGTTCCAGGGAATCTGATGCTGTCTTCTGACTTGATGGATATCAGACACACACACAGTGCACAAATATGCACACAGACAAAATATAAAACAAAATAAAATATAAACATGAATTAACACTAAAATGATTTCAGACTATCTTTTGGAAAGAGCATTTGTACTTTCTCCCACCCTCCCTCTTGGTCATAGCCTGCACTTTATGATTCCGTAGCTTTTCATTAAAACAAAACAAAAATATCACTTGAAATTTGGCTTCTTTTTGTTATTTTCTGTCTTATCCATCTTTCTTTTTTTACCTGCATTGATTTCATTTTTAAGATTTCTTTTATTTTTAATCCTGCACATGAATGTGTCTGTGAGAAGGTGTGCACCCATGACTACAGGTGCCCTCCGAAGCCGGAGGCACGGGACCCCATGGAGTTGGACTTACAGGCAGCTGTAACATGGGTCCTCAGAACTGGTCCGCATTCCTCTGCATGAGCATTCTTTCACAGCAATCGCTGGGTCATCTCTCGAGCCCCCATATTATCTCTACCCTCTGGAGTGATGTCACTGGCTGATATTTCCCAGGTTTGGACTCTGTGATGTCCTTGCTTTCTTTCAACACTGATTTCCGGGCTAACTGCCCTTGAGATGTCGCTATTGGTCACGGGTGTGGAATGCAGAGTTCTGTGCCTTGTAGTAAGTATACCTAATTCCACTTTTCATTAAATCATCTTTAAATGAAGAAATAATTTTGCATTTTAAAAGGAGATTTATTTTTATTTTATATAAATGGATGCTTTGCCTGTGTATGTGCTTGCCACCCTTAGAGACCAGAAGAGGGTGCTGGGCACCCAGGAACTGACATTACAAAAAGGTTGTGAGCCACCACGTAGGAGCTGGGAGACAAATCCTGGTCCTCTGCAAGAATAGCTCGTACAGGCTGAGCTATTTCTCCAGCTAGTTTTGAGGATCTAAACAGGCAAATTTGGGAGCTATCTTCCCGGTGATTCCTGCGTTCTCTGATTTTACTTTGAGAAACTTCTCCCCTGCAGCCCAGCCCATGGTTCCTTTTAACTGCAGCCCAGAACCTGGAAAGAACGAGGAAGGCAGGTGCCTACTTTCTAACCGCCAAAGTCATTAGCATTTTGCTTAATCTTCCCTGAGTCTATGAGAACCTTTGGCCCATCTGTTACTAGCAACAGAGGCAGGCGGGGTCTTCTCTGATTTGAATCCGTTCTCTGTGTATTCCTGACAGCTTTTACCTTACACATTTAGAAGGTGTGTCACATGGTACAAACTAATTTATAATTCCCATACTGCTGATAAGTCACACTGGCTTCATTTTTTATATAATTTCTTAAGTTCTTTTGGGGGAACTGGGGGAAGGCGGAGAGAGGAAATGGCAATAATTAAGACACAAGTACAAATTTTTCAAAGAATGCATTCTAATGACTAATTTTTTTTAAAAAAAGTTTTCTTTTCCATTTAATACATTTTTGGTACCATGCTGTACTCCTTTATTTCTGCGTAGTTGGCATTTGTTGTGGATTATTTTTCCTGCTACTTTGTGTCATGTTTTAGATGAGTCTAATCTCCTCCATAAAGTCCTTACAGTCCTTAGTCTCATAATGTATAGTACAGTCACATAACAGCCCACCTCTCTATTATATATTATATATGTATATATCATAATAATATTATATATTTGTTATACTTATATATATTAATATAATATGCTTTATTATTATAATAATATCTGGTTATCAGAATACTGTCATTTCCCAGGATGCTGTGCTATGGAGGAGGAGTCAGGGAGGACCCCCATCTCTAGGCAGTGGTTTCATGCTATCCTGACAACTGAAGATCCACCTTGCAGAAGAGACCGAAGCAGAGAGAAGGTCAGAGTGGGGCCACACCCAGAGCAGCCCTGCCCAGCAGCACCACTGAAATCAGAACCACACTTCACACAGAGCTCCTGGTGTGCTTCTCTTCCTGGTGCAGATGCAGCTACACAAAGAAACCGCTTTCCCCGCTTCTCACCGTCTCTGTCTCTTTAAGGGGCTTGTTGAGAACAGGTGTCTAAGCCCAGCTTGTCAGGACTCTAAAAGCCCTGATAACAAAACTACTGATATTTGTTTTTAAATTGAGCATATGAACTTAATAATCTTGACGGTAAAGCTATCCTCACATACTAAGACATTTTGAAAAATCAATGTCAGATGTATCAATGAAGTTAAAATGTTGGTATGATTTTTAATTTGTAGAAATTTTTGTTTTCAAAAATTAAACACAAAAGAAGCTTTTCTTCTTAGGGTCTTAATATTTCAAGAAATTATAGTCCTCTTGAGTAGAAAATAGGGTCATCCTGGAGGAAGGCCGGCCTGGTCCAGCATACATTAAAAGAGGCTACCCTCCCAGGCCACGGCCTGGAGCTGGCCTTCCTGCACCTGCCCTGCCGGCCACACCCAGGCCTCTCTCTCTGGTCTGGGGAGTCTAATGATTAGAAAAAGGCTCCGCTCAAAGGCCCAAGTCAAAGGGGAGGAAGCTGAGGAGTGGACCCAGCTCTGCCTACTGGGAATCTACTCTGCAGGTAGGTGACCAGGGGACATGGCAAGGGACGGATTCTGCCATCCTGTTGGCATGTTACAGTCCATCACTGACATGCCAAACCGGTAATGCTCCTCTAAATCATTTCATCTGCACATGTGATTCTGAAAGCCTCACGGTTACAAACAGAAAACAGCTCGTCTGAGTTCACCCTGGCAGAAAAGCATTTGCTGTGCGGCTGCTGAAACAGATGGGCACAGCACCCTAGATTCCTGTGTGGTTAATAGCTGCTCTCTATCGGAAGAGCCCTGTCCCAGAAATCCTTGACTCTCCAAGACACTTGAGCACAATTACTTGGGCCCAGAAGACGCCACCAAGGCCCACCTTCTGTGCATTTTGACTTCTGGCCCCTAGAGGGAGCCCGTTAGTCACATCGCATTTCCTTCCTCGCCAGGCCCAGATTGGTTGTGGGTCAAGCCAGGGCCTGACTGGAGCTGAGAAGCATGGAGGCCCCACCTTCCAGACTGGGCATCCCACCCTCGTCTTTGAACATTCTGTATTTCCACTCCAGGTAAGAACCCTTACGGTAGGAGGCTTTCTCACGTGGCAAGGAAGCTCACGTCCCGCCAGTTACAGGCGCGAACAGCCTTACCTTTTCCATGTCCAGGAACTCCTCATCCAGCTTCGTTCCTTCGGCCCCGCTAATTTTTTCACTAAACAGCTGCAAAAAAGCAAACACAAGTACTTTCTCTCACTGAAGAGAGTAAAACAAAACACCGTGAAAGTATCTTGGCTCTGTTGTTTCAATTTTAAACTAGGTCCTTTCTGGAAACCATTAGGGGCCAACAAGACAGTAAAGGGGCTTGCCGGGCAAACCGGGCTGCATGCGCTCTAGCCCCAGAGCCTATGTAAACAGGGAAGGGGAAAACCAACCCCACTAAGTTGTTTCCAGACTTCCATATGTGCACTGTGGTGTGCACGCACGCATGTGCACACACACATGCACACAGACAGCCACTCACTCTCCAGAACCAGAGCCACCTAGCTGACCCACAGCTGAGGGAACACACCAAAGAGTCTCATCAGCTGCCCATGCCCCCCCCAAACCTGGAGACCCTAAGCCCCAAAACAGTGCTGTTTTAAACCACTAAGTCTGGGGTGTTTCACAGGAGAATCCACTTGCCAGGGTTTCTCTTTTCAGGCTGAGAAGAGAGGTCAGACAGCCTCATCCTAACCCTTAATATGAGACGTGACCCTCAGAGGAATACGTGAGACTGTGCTCTACAGCAACAGCGGGAAGCAAAATCACCTCAAGTACTGGTTCCTAACCCTGGAGGTAATATCTGAGTCTCTAATGGAAGTTATACAATCTCTGGCCTTCGAGCTTGTTGCCATGGGAGACTGCAAAAAGTGGCCGCCCGGCTTTGTAGTTCTGCCCATTGAGAAACAGCGGCTCCCATTCTGCCTCCGTTTCCTTTGGTCAAAAGATGGCATCAGAGCTGAGCTGTGGGCTTCAGATACTCCAGCAGCGGTTCTCAGCCTGTGGGTCACGACCTCCTAATATTACAAATCTACCCGGCATATCAGATATCTACATTACAATTCATAACTAGCAAAATTAGTTATGAACCAGCAATGATAATGACTTTATGGTTGGGGTCACCACATCATTAGGAGCTGTATTAAAGAGCCACAGTGTTAGGAAGATTGAGAACCACTTACAGCAGACACCTCCAGGCATTCTCTGAGATCCACAGTGATCAAGGCCCACCCAGCCTGTAGGAGAATGACCACATGGGGGAGCGGAGCCATCATAGACTACCACCCCGTTTGGGGTGAGCCTCTTATGCAGTAATAGGTGACTGGCCTGGAACTAGAGAATCCCATGCACAGCTCCTGATCTATCGCGTCTATTAGCGCTGAGAATTAGTCCTGACCCTCCTCAGTCAATTCTCCTTGGCTGTTACCAGTACATTGGCTCTATCAGAAAGCATGGCGGGACATACATAAAGGGAGTATTTCTGTTTTTTTTTGTGTGTGTGTGCCTTTTCGAGACAGAGTTTCTCTGTAGCTTTGGAGCCTGTCCTGGAACTAGCTCTTGGAAACCAAACTGGTCTTGAACTCACAGAGATCCACCTGCCTCTGCCTCGCAAGTGCTGGGATTAAAGGCGCGCACCACCACCCAGCATATTTCTACTTTTGAGACCAGAAATGAATATGATTTCTGTTCCTTTCTCATCTGGAAATATATAATACCTGGTTTTGTTTTCAGTTGCAGGTTAGAGTTGTGACAATTCGCTTGCTTTACCTGAATTCCCCCAGGACACTTAGCTATTTTGAGACATTAACTAGGAATACACACATGACCTTAGATATTTAAGACACTTGACCGCCGAATGAGAACTTCTCCCATAGACTCAGGTGTGTGAACACATAGGGTCCTGGTTGGCAATGCTGTTCGGGCAATGCCTTGGTGGAGGAAGTACCTCACTGGGGTGGGCTTTGAGAGTTCATAGCCTCAAACTACCTCCAGATTGCTCTCTCCACTCCATATTTGTAGTTGAAGATGTGATCTCTCCTGCTTCAGCCACTGCTGCCATTCCTCCCTGCTGCTAGGAACTCTCCAGAACCATAAGCCAGAGCAAACCCTTGCTTCTCTAAGTTACCTGAGTCCCGGTGCTCTGTCCCAGGAACAGAACGCTAACCACTACAGCCATACGCAGTATGTCATCACTGGACAGCCTTGAACAGTCAGCACCCGCTGTACGCTGAGCACCCACTGTGCGCCGAGCACCCCACCCGCCACATAAACATCCTACAGGTCACCTACCCTCACTGTAGGGAAACCCTGCCAGACTCTAAATATTGATATTCAAGCAAACCTAAGTTGGGAAGGTCTTTAACTCCAGCATTTAAGAAGCAGGGTATTTTCTGTGAATTCCAGGTCAGCCAAGACTACATAGTGAGTCATAGGTAGATTATAGATTAGATAGATAGATAGATGGATAGATAGATAGATAGATAGATAGATAGATAGATAGAGATGCATACATACATACATACATACACTAAAACATGTGGAATGCAGCAAAGGTCATTTAAAGATTAAACACAGAAAAAAGTACTTTAAATCAATGCAAACCAACAAAACTACAGTACTGCAACCTAATGTTTCAAACTTTATCTAATGGCCCAAGCTAGGTAGTCTGCCAAAAGGTACCAATGTAGTATGTTAGAAACACTGTGATCAAGGCATAGATAGCCATATAACACACCAAGACAGCAGACATCCATGACAGACATATGTAGATATAGTATGTTAGAAACACCGTGATCAAGGCATAGATAGACACATAACACACCGAGACAGCACACGTCCATGGCAGACAGATATAGAACTTGTCACTAGAAGCCAGATAGAAGCAAAGGATAGAAAGAGGATCCCAGAAAGTCCCAGGAGAGAGCCTAGGAGGAGGATGTGGTATTTCTGGAAGAGGGAAGTATAGACAAAGCCATGACATTAATTTTTCTAGTACAAAGGCAGAGAACTATTAACGTGACTATACTAAGGACTAACCCCAAAGGAGAAGGGCCAGATGGCCAGGTAGGCAGGTCACACAGGTAGGCAGGTCACACAGGTGGGCAGGTCACACAGGTGAGCAGGTCACACGGGTGGGCAGGTCACACAGGTGGATCACAGGGGCAGACAGGTCACACAAGCAGGCAGGTCACACAGGTGGGCAGCTCACACAGGCGGGTTACACAGGTGGCTCACACAGGTGGGTCACAGAAGTGGGCAGGTCACACAGGCAGGTCACCCGGGTGGGTCACACAGGCAGGCAGGTCACACAGGCAGGTCACACAGGCGGGTCACAGATAGGTCACCTGGGTGGGTCACATAGGCGGGCAGGTCACACAGGCAGGTCACACAGGCAGGCAGGTCACAGAGGCAGGCAGGTCATGTGCCACTCCTAACCATGAGCAGTGCAGAGTTAAGCAGGTTAAGTGCAGGAACAGATCTGAATTTCAGAATTACAGTCAAGTGGATCATAGGGAAGGCCCCTGAAGAAGAACCAGACGACAGGCCAATCCAAGAGCTGACAGGTAGCTATGTAGATCTGCTGAAGGGACAGTTCTGGAATTCCAGTCTCATGTGTCCCCACCATAAATCACGTATCTCACCGGGCTCACTATTGAACACTGTAACCCTGTCAACCAGACCTGCCTCAGGAGGCCCGGGGCCATCACCAGATGGAACCGTGCCCAGCTCCAACTTGGCAGCACCAGTCATATCAGAAATAGGAAAACCAAAGCTGCTTTCCAGGACCAGAACAGAGTAGTGACGCTGGGGAAGGGACAGACCTGGGAAAACCAAAGCTGGGGGGCCTCCAGAGTCCCTTCTATACGCACGCACGAGGGGCTAACGGTAAATACCATCACAGCCTCGGCGCCCTCTGCGCATAATACGTTTTCAGAGAAATCTGACTTCTCCATTTCTTCCATTTCTTTAAAAGGATTTATTTTTATTTTGAATTGGGGGGCAGGTTCTGAGTCCAGAAGAGAGCACTGGGTCCCCTGAAGCTGGAGAGCTGACACGGGAGCTGAGAACCGAACTCAGGTCCTCTGCAAGGGCGCTGCTCACTTCTAACTACTGAACCATCTCTCCGGGCCTCGCTTCTTCATTTTCTGTAAGACTAAACAGCAATAAAGCCAAAATCTCAGATATATATGTATATGTATGTATACAGCCAAACGTCTACGTAGGGACTTTTGAAATTTCTCCTGCATCATGTGTTTCCCTGCATCATGTGTTTCCCAGTGTGTGTGTCTGAAACCAGAGTTCTGTGGAGAAGAGGCAGGAGAAAGGCTCTAGGCTACACAATCGTAGACAGGAAAAACACAAAAAGATTTCTTTACAAAAACACATCAGGAACTTTTAAATGGGCACTTCCAGACATGCAAGGGACATGTTGGACAGACCTGACAGTGTTTGTCATCTAATGTAAAGGTTAAGCCTCCTTGGTGCTCTGGAGACACCCTGGCCTCCCCAGGGATGCTCACCCTCCCTGCTGCCTCCGTCTTTACTGTGTGCCTTTTAGCTGCCATGAGCTGCTTCCAACCGCTTAGAAAACACGGCAAGATCGGGCGCGTCACCAGCAGGGACAGATGAGCGAGAGGGGTGTACGAGCTCTTCTAACTGTGGCCCTTGAAGCTGTCTGTGGGGGCACCGGAGCAGAGGAGGCTGAGGGGCCAGGAATGGAAGGAAAGAAACAGCATGGGGGAGGGGGTGTGCAGGGGTGTGTTCAGGGGGGCGTGTGGGTGCGTCTTGGTTTGGGGGGAGGGTTCCTGTCTTGTAACACAGGCTAGAAAATGGGAGCAGAAAGCTCCAGGCTGGAATAAGCAGCCATCTCTCTCCCCGTGAGGTTACAGAGCACACGGTAACCAAGGAAACCAGGATCTAAGAGGCCAAAATTCCGGGAAAAAAGGAAAAGCGTAAAGAAGCAATCCTGACAGGCTGTTCCCTTTCCTCTCGGTGCTTGGAGTATGTCCTCCCTGGCGCCGAGGCGAGGCTTACAGAAAACAGTACAAGGACACGGCTAAAGGCTAACCATCCAGGCGGAGACTTCACTACCACAGTCATCGGGAGACAAACACCGGAGCTGAGGCTTGTCCAACGAGACGGGATTGTAAAGGGGATGGGAAAAGAGGCATCTCCTCAAA